GTCTGTGAAAAATAAATAAAAAAAAAAAATTAGAAAGACACAGTTGAATGTTAACAGCTCAATGAGTGAAAGAAAAAAGCAAGCATGTGTGCATGTCTCACACCTCCTCAAATAAACTGGTGTTATCAGGGACATTATCAATTAAGACTTTGCTGTTGGTTGCTGGCTGCTCAATGACTACATTTGTGGTTTTCCGGCGCTTCTCCTCTGGCTCTCCCTCAAAACTGTCATTGCTGTGGCAAAGGAACATAAGAGCAGTGGTCAGACTGACCGCCAACACCCCCATAAACAGTCATTATCGAAGTCAACATGAAACACTGTTTATAGGGTTGGGAGTCTTCAGGCACATCACCATCTGATTCTGAAAATGATTTTCAATGCATCCCTAGGAGTGCAAGAGGTGGCAGTGTAAAGCATAAAAGTTATTCTAGAATACATCTGCTTTCACCCACTAACAGAAACAGAAAAAGCAGGTATGATAACCAAGTATCAGAAGCGATTTTGCAGTTCTCTGTGTAAATGCAATGCTGCGGAGAAAACATAAACCCTCAGCCTACATAGTTTTCCGTGGCTTTGCACAGGAAAAATAAACTTTCAAGTAGGGATAAGCATTTTTCAAAAATATTGTATTTGAATATTTGGGCTCAAAAAACGAATATTAATTTATTTAAATGACATTTAACGAGACATTATTTTTTAATAATCAAGTTTTTGTCACCATTTCCGAACAAACTTATGATTAGGGTTGGGTATCGTTTGGGTTTTTTTCTAAACCGGTGCCAAATCGACACTTTTAAAACGGTTCCGGTGCCTAAACCGATTATTAAAGAATAGAGAAAGAATAGAGAATGCTAGTGTTAGAGGCTCTTTTTTCTTTATAAATAAAACAAGTAGCTAGAATAGAAACAGAATAGAAAGTGCAAATGTTAGAGGATCAAGTTTTTTTATTAAAAAAAACAAGCAGATCAAATTAGAAGTAGCATTAGAATAGAGAGTGCTAGAGTTAGCGGGTCAAATGAATATGAAAGAGATGTGTTTTCAGCC